GAAAATAATGCAATCAAAAAATATCATCTAACCAGGATATAATTCCAGAACATCAGGATCCAATCGTTTCAATGTACAATTCACCATACTTAATGATGTAATTCGTGGATCCAATAAAGCTGGGATATCATTAAGTGCTGCATTATCACAACGTGTCACTTTTTGCTCCTCAGATATACATATGCATTCTTTTGGACACATTGATAACAACAGCTGAGGCATTGTGATAATTATGATACAGATGATATCAATAATTTTTCCAATATGTGACATCATTGTCTAATGGTGTAATACCACCAGTTCAAAATTTTGAACATCACAAGCTGTCACCGCAGGTTGAAATTGAAATTCTCGACAAAAATTTTTCCCGATGAAAAATTAATCAGGTTTATTTGAAAGAGCTGAAAATGAAACGAAATAAAAAAGTCTTCAAGAGCAAAATAATAGCAACGATTATTTAAAACGCTATTAATTACCAAAAAAGAAGATTAGTTAATTAATTACTATTAAAAAACTTTTATCGATCAATATCGAAAGGAAAATAATTTCTATTGATCGATATCGAAGAGAAGATAACTTTTATCGATCAATATCGAAAGGAAAAATAATTTCTATTGATCGATATCGAAGAGAAGATAACTTTTATCGATCAATATTTAAAGAGAAAAATAACTTCTTTCCAACAATATCAAAAGAAAAATAATTTCTACCAATTGATATCGAAAGGAAATAATTTTTATCAATCGATATCAAAAGGAAAATGATTTTTATCGATTGATATCAAAGGGAAAAAATAAAAAAATTTCGAAAGATCAATAATCACAATAGTGAAAAGGTATATAACGGAAATAGAAATAAAATTTTCAACAGCTTCTCAATTATATTGAACGTATTATGGCATAGTGAAAAATAAATAGGTTGAAGAGGCGACATTCCGCTCATTTCGTCTCGTTGTTGTCACCTCATCTTTAACTCTCACTCCTTTTTTCTTTTTTGTTCTTAAAAAGAACTGGTCATTTTCAATTTTCAGTTGTTTTCAATCAATATATAATTTTATGTCAACAATTTCTATCTATCTAATTTTATTAAGCATATATATATATGCATTCATCAATTCCGTCATTTTTAATAACCGGATAATTTTCCACTTTATGCGCTTTTATCCAAGATTAGATGTCACATCTTTAGCTCTATATTTAGTGCGCTTTTGTCTAAGATTGAATGTCACATCTTTAGCTCTATATTAGTGCGCTTTTGTCCAAGATTAGATATCATGTCTTTAGCTCTATACTTAGTGCGCTTTTGTCTAAGATTGAATGTCACATCTTTAGCTCTATACTTAGTGCGCTTTTGTCCAAGATTAGATGTCATGTCTTTAGCTCTATACTTGTTGCGCTTTTATCTAAGACTGAATTTTTTTTTTTAATTCTATTCCTAATTTCCAATCAATTTAATCACCATTAAATAAATTTT